ATAATGGTTGATGGCTTCTTCGACCTTCTAACACATGCAACCGAATATCTCGAGAATACGTCTACTAAATGAAGAATCCACACTCCTTGTTGAATTGTAATTAAATCCATAGCGACTGTATGGTTAAACTCTGAAGCTAGAGGCAATCCCACAACTGGTCTGAGTGGAGTTTTCTTGTACAGCTTGCAAACATCACATTTACTTGAAATTTCATCCACTATATTTAGAACTTCTCGATCATTTTTCCATAATTGGGATGATTTTATTAGCTGTTTAAGCTTGCTTGAACTACAATGACAAAATTGTCTGTGCAATTTGTCCACCATGCTTTCTTTTTCCTTTCTGGTCGTTGGATTTATAGCTACAAAGCAACATTCTTTGTTAGCATTGGAATGATTTTCAGAATCAACAACTTTTCTTGATTTTGTTAATGGAATAGCATAATGTCCGGATGATGTTTTCAGTAGTTGCTGTTGTTCCCCAAACATTGTCACACTATCTTCATTAAAATTAAGCACTGTTTCAGCCTTTTTCATAGCTGCCTTAGACATTAACAGGGGTATATCTGCATCAATCACATCAGTTTCTAAATTAACTTTCTTAGATCCAATGACTGCTGGTATTATTACTTTCTTTTCAGACATAACTGGTTCTCCATTTCCAAACTTAAATGCAGCTGTGGATGGTTTTTCCTTGATAATATCTTCATCAATCAGACTGTCCGTGTAACAATCCAGCCACTTTCTACCACACACTGTTTGTGTGCACCCAGAATCAAGAACTGCACAACTAAGCGTTTCTCCTACAAATACCTTCATCTCATGTACATCATGATTAGGCGATTGAAATAAGTTTAGAGTTTCAGTTTTCTTGTCAGGATCTAAACCTTGATTTTCATACGCATCAGGGCAATTCCGTGCCCAGTGGAATTTGCTTTCACAAATGTTGCATCTCAAAATATTTCCATAATGATCAACAGGGTTTAATTTTCTTTGCCTGCTTGAAGGTTCACCGTAATCTTTGCGTTGTATACCATTGTCATCCCGATTTCCTCTTGATGCTCTGTATGGTAATCTTCCCCTTGGATTATATCCCCTTGTCTGGTAAGGTCTGTCTCGCAATGACCTGCCATTTTCCTCTCGCACCTGTCTGGAAACACCACCATAAAATACTGTTTCCTCTTTCACCCTGTCCTCAGATTTAATAAAGCTTGATGATGCTGAATCACCATAAATTCTAACCAGTTGACTCACCATCGCATCATATTTCAACTCAGTGATTGTTGCTCGGCATAATTTTATTTCTTCCTGGTTTAAATTTGCAGAATTTAACACTCGGTATGCCAGCCAATACGCCATCAGGTAGGGTCATGTTGTGATCTTTTATCTTCGTATACAATTGTTCAAACCGAATCAAGTACTCTTTTATTGTCGCTTAAAACTCTCAAAATTTTGATACGCTATGTATGCACTTTGGTTAGTATCTTGTAAATACAATTTATCCAATCGCTCTAAAATGGTTTGTACGCCAGTATCTTTCTTAAGCTCTTCTATGTCAATCTCTAACGCTGCCTCCCTCGCTTTTCCGCTCAAAGATAAATACAAACTAGGACCTTGCTTCTTCGCCGGTAAATCTGTCAACGCTTGCCATATTTTAATCTCCTTTTTGTAGTCAATCCAACTCTTTTTTTCATCAAAAACCGGCGGTGGTGTAAATTTACTTGCCATTGTGAATCACTTACTCCTCTGCTACCATTGTTAAACTGAATATGAACATATATTTAATATAAAATCGCTTATACGTATAAAACTGATTGTTTCTCACAAAACGAAACGCCAACGTTCCTTCCCGCCAACTCCGTGCACTCTACCGCGGGCTCAGACCTAGAGAGTACTTGGTGTAACTATGCATTTGCAATATGCAGTCTCACATATATGTCATGGCTTACTTGCATTGTGCGCAGTGCGCTCTAGACAACACAATGGATTTTAGCAGGATCAAGCCAGGGTGCATGTTTTTTTGCTCAATATTGTCTTTTTATTGGAAATTTAAAGGAATTTATGGATGTCATTTGAATAGTTTTCGTTTTCTAATTAACGTTTGACTAGAGCGATTAACACCGTCATGACATAGTTTTTTATATGCCAACCCCATCACAATGACACACGTATGTGAAATATAGTGGCCAGTATTGATTACATCCTGTATCATGCCACATATTAGGTAGTAGATCCATGAATTACCTTGACAATTTAAAAAAAATTCTGTTGAGCCGAAATTTTTCAAATTACACAAAGGCGATTATTCGATCATAATAATTTTTTTGGCTCAACAAATTTTTTTTTTAAATTGTCAAAATAATTGATTATACTAAGACAAATCATTTTTAAAAATAAAATTCTGGGGTCACGATGTCGTTTACGAGTTAAATTACTTTAAAGCCAAAATATCCACCATCTTGAAATGTCATAATTGCCATAGCAACGGCAGTTGCGTAACGTTTGTGCAAATATTCTTTAGATGTTGTTTTGTACTTTTCGTTTTTCAACAAGTAATAATTGTCCAAAAATATGTAACTAAATCGTGAATTTTCAATTTTTTAAATTAAAACAGTATTGAGCCACCTTAACTTAGACCCACGGTTAAATTTGCCCGGCCACGTACTTCAAACTCATTATTTCTGAGCCAAAGTACAAAATGTCAAAACATGGCAGTGATGGCACATCGTCAAGTCGGAAGCTTGGATCTCTATCATAGTTTCTATTCAGACAACGACAGCTTAATCAATACATAATATATATACAAACGTAGGCTAATACAAGTCAATGAAGAGATAAAAAGTTCAACAAGTTGCGTCGATCATTACTAATCTAGCTTACATATAGTAGGTACTGCGCATGTTGGTAGGTACTTATATATATATATATATATGTACTGAATCAGATTAAATTGTTGTTGTCATTATATATATAAACGCCCTGGTTCCGACCTTGTTTTTCTGGAGTTAGATTTCCGACTTTCCGTCACTTTCAACACACTCGACCACATAATTTTAGTATCAGTATATTTCGGTGCATTGCTGGACAACTCGTCTTTATTTATCCGACTGAATGTGAATGAAGACAAGTTTCTAGTTACCAATTCCAATTTAAACTTCGCATCTGTTCTGGTGATAAATTGACCGAAAATTTCTAGACGTGAAAATAAGCAAATTGCCGGCAGGTCAGACCGACCTATGATGTGAACATATAGGCCTTGTAATTGGCTGATTATGACAATAAACTACAGAAATTATATTTCTAAAGAACGAACACAGATACTTCTGTTTCCATCACAAACCGTGTTCATATTAACTAAGTACTATTTAAAACACGAGCAGAAGTGTTTTATCAGATACAAAATGCGAGGCACAGCCGAGTGTTTTAGTTGAATAGCTTAAAATAGGACTACAAAAGAATACTAATCAGGATGAACAATTATATAATAATACCAATTAGGATGAACAATTTTATAAAGAATATACTAATGCAGATGAGTTTATCAGATATAAAGTCACTCCACGAGTGGCCATGTGACATATTATGACTGACATGATTTGCCACAAGGTTTATGAATTATTAATGATATTTTAAGTATAGGTACTAATGCTATTTATCTAATGAATACAGGGTTGTGTTATTTTTGCGCCCTCATGCTCTCCCACCCAACCACACCCAAATCGCTACGTCTAGGTAACGAGGAATGCTCTTAGGTATTTATACGCGCTATGGGTAATTGATATTATTAGTTGCAATACACGCAATTATATTATTATTGAATAGCTGCTGTTATACATCTTTGAATTGTAGACATTGTCACATTACAGTTTAATTGTTTCAGGAATTTTCGTAATAGTTTCAATCCATTAAAAATTCTATTTAGCGGCTTAGTTATGACGTCCATATTTTGGTGGAAATGGTCTAACAAGCATTGTGAAGACATGTAGTGTAGTGTAGTGTAGTGTAGTGTAGTGTAGTGTAGTGTAGTGTAGTGTAGTATTGCATGTTCAGTGCATACAGCTGCTGTATTTCAATTAAGGTTGTCCACGAGCAAAGCGGAAAAGTCGAATACGAGCGCGAAATGCTGCTGGGAATCGTTAACAAATTAATGAATTTTCAAAGCGATTCCCAGCTGCCTTTCGCGCTCCAATATGTCGGAACAATTTTAAATTTAACGGTATACAACTAATCAACTGATGGAATTCCTTTGTTATATTGGCTTGAACAGTTACCGACTATTTTGACTGAAATATGGAATCTTTAACTCAGATTATGAACACTTGAAAACACTGATTGTGTCGAACGTTCCAAGACTTTTAAAATCCATGCATGCAGTCAGACTGACGTGTACTTATACGGTATATACTTAAGAACAGGGGCTAAGCATGGAGAATCAATGCAAAAACTTATTATGAACTATTTTACTAACATAATAAATACTAAAAGATATACTAATTTTTACATTGATTTTTTACATTGAGTATAACTACTAGCTACATATACTTTAAAATACTCTCATTTAAATTTAGCCTGCGAGTAGCAGGTATTGCCCACCTTCCTGTATCACCCACTAATACCACGCCTTCTAAGCAGGCTAATTTTAATTGTTAATGTATAAGTCAGTGCAATCAAATATTGACTCCATTACCATGAAAAACTAGTAAAAAAACCTTTTTTCTGTATTTTCCACTCACAGCCTTGCCTTTGCCTTCCTCAGGGCTGACTTAGCCTGTGAACTTCCTTTGCAAAAATGTCTGACTACAGTCTATACTGTCTCCCTTCCTTGGGGCATTTAAGGCTAGCATTACAACCCACATAAAGGCTAACTTGGCTATAGTAAAAGCTAATTAAGTTGATGCTTTGTCCTTGGCAAGGCTCCATTGGCATTGTGCTATAGAAGCTAAGAGGTGGTGAAAAGTGATTGCATCCTTATCCTGGTTTTAAATTGTCTATTGTTTATTTGTTTTTAACTTCTAAAAATAATCTACAACATTCCAAGCCTTCCAAAGTACGCATAGCCATAGTCATAGATCCTGCGTGTCTCTGCAGCTCACCCTATTTTATAGATCTTAATCTCATTGAAATAATAAAAATCAACTTCCAGGCATGCTTGTTGAAGACCGAGACTGCTTGTGTTACTCAATAGCTAATATGATAATTGCTAATATAAATTTTTCAGTCGTCAGCAGCTACGTCATCATATGTTTCATGTGTTGAGGAAAGATTTACCAGCAAAATAGGAATTTAATATAATTATAATTAATATAGATTTTATTTAATTAGTCGGTGGGCTTTCATGGTCAAGTCGGTGTAGGTTTGTTCTCCTGACTTAAGGTGGTTTTCCGCTAGGCGAAATTTTTCGATCTCAACCGAAATTTCTATTGTTCAAATTCAAAAGATTTCTGATTAGTTACATCTGAGTGCTTGTAAGACAAATAGAAAATTTCGATTTGGTCGAAAAATTTAGTGGAAAACGGCCTTTAGAAGCTCTCAGATGGAACTAAACAGAAATCTTTTGAATTTGAACAATAGAAATTTGATCGAAAAACTTCGCCTAGTGGAAAACCACTTTAAGTTTTGGGCCGGGATTTAGTATTACTCGATATGTAAATTGCTGACAAATAAACTATTTTCATTTCATGCTGCATAATCACTAAATTATTGGGTATATTTGCAATGATATCTCAAATGTGTAAGAGCGACAGTATCTATTTTAATTAGTCGGTGGCGTAGCCAGACCTTCATTTTTTTTGGGGGGGGGGGCGAAGCGAACGCCGAAGGCGCGAGAGCATCTAGGGGGATCCGGGGGCATGCACCCCGGGAAAATTTTGAAATCTAGAGTCCCTGAAATGTGATTTCAAGCATTTTGGGGGTGAAATCCTGCACATGACTCCAAAGATTATAAAGTACATCAAAGACATAAATTTTCCCAGACATTTCTAATTTTTTACTCGGAATTAAATAAATTGGAAAAGTCATCTTGAAAAACCGGAGGAGCCGGTCAGCATCACCTTATTTTCCCCTCTGTGATGCTGGGGAAGAAAATCCCAATGTGATTTTGATCAGAAATGTTGCATTAAAATCATTCTAAATTCTATGAGAGTAATGAGACAGCATTTACGCATTCTCAAAATTGCGTTGCTTTTTTATACGATACTGACAGAATAAGTCTGAGAAGAATATTCATGCTATGATAATGTATACTTGTAAATCTAAACTAAATCTATTCTTCTTGGAACCATATCTACAACTGCTTTAGAGATTTTACGAATCAAGTTCCTCCAGTATATCGTCGTTTTCCTCAGTCGAGACGTACTTAATCAGTTTCAGCGTCGAGGATGTAACGTGTACCCCCTCCCCCTCCCCAATTTCTCTACGGATTTAGCCTTTTTCAGAGAATGTTTTTCTTTGCGATTGGGGGGGGGGGCGGTCGCCCCCTTGGCTACGCCACTGTAATTAGTAAAGTATGAACTAAAATGAACGAACTGACCAATTAAGTCAATTAACTGATCAATATTTTAGAACTATCACTGTGCCCACAAAACGCTTGGTATCAAAGACTCTATATCGAGTGGTTGAAAGATGTTGTGAGGGTTGGACTGGTGATGATTGCATGACAGGTATGTTATAGTGGACTGTGGATGCAATATTCCGTATGGACATGCAGGTGTCAACTATTGGTCATACGGTATCAATACGGAATAGCTATTACGCGTCATTTGTCAGTTATCGCAGTAGGAAATTTATTTATATAATTTGTCAGGGAAAAATACAGGGGAATGTTGGTTGTAGGCCTAGTATACAGTGAGTAACGGCAATCGCTCGCCCTTTTAATTAGTGGTTTATTTACCAGGCTTTGTGCCGAAATATGCCATAGGCATGCAATTAATTCTTTATTACTTGGCAAGTCCTTTCTAATCTAGACTCGTAGATGAAATAAACAGATTGTTTCATTGTATACAGGAAAAATTGGAGTGTGACCCTAGAAAGATTCTCCATAAGTCACGGTTCTATTATGGCAATTTTGTTAATGGAAACAACTTGCGACGCCCCTATAACTTGCAATAATATTTATTTATGGTGACTGAATGTTCTCAATTATAACGTCTTCATTATACAGCTACTGATGAAAAACAAGGAAACAACTTTAAAAGACAATCAAGTAAATGAGCACGGCTACATTGATGGATAAGAAATAGAACTTGAACATCGGGTTAAAAGACATTAAAATTATCTTCCTTTTTATATTATACATGTAAACCAATTAGTTCTTGGACAAACTTTTATTTTTCATGTAAGCCCAAGAAACTACGTTGTTTTTTTCATGTAAGCCCAAGAAACTACATGTATATGATGGAAAAGCTTATACTCTAAAATATTTTTTCAAGGAGTCAATCCAGGAATGTGTCCAAGATATTCCAGCCCAGGACGTTTTGAACGTTGTGCAGATGAATGCCAAACTGACGCAGATTGTGGAAAGACCAAGAAATGTTGCAGGTCAACATGCATAGGAATGAAATGCGCGTCACCAGCACGTAAGATGTTTTCAGTAAAATAAATATGCAGTAGAATACAATTATATAATAATCAATAATATAATAATCAATATCAATATAATATCACCCGAAAATTTCAGAAAATATAAATCTAGCTAAAGATCAACATCTTCAGAAATGTATATGGGTCGAAGACATTCAGGAACGAAATTAAATTACGTTTTTAGTGCAGAGTTTCTTTGAAACTGTGCACTATTGTGATGAGTGGCGAAAATTCACATCTGTCATACATCAGATATCATAGAGTAAACTTTCCGGGGGGTGTATACGATTTATCGTCGTGGTGATTTATTCTACTTAGTCAGTGCTTTGAAGGTTATTTAGGCAATTTCAGTTGTCTTATTTAAATACTTATTTTGTCCTTTTGCCAAGTTCACAAAAATTTCCAGGAATTGTTGTTATTGCAAATTTTTGTCAATTTTATAACATTTGCTTCTCCGTGTTGTGTAAAAGATCTTTCCCCCGGAACACCCATTTTTTCTTTAGCAGCGCAAATGCGCATGTGCTATCAAGCTGTAGATCACGATGGCGAGACGAATGACGATGCTAGGAAGGAGCGACACTGCCGAACAGTGTTGTTTTCAAATTATAAACATTTTTATAGACGTGAATATCGAGTAAATGTTTGAGAATCTACGCAATATATAAATTGATGTTATGACTTATGCATTATGGGCATTCAATTAAGTACCGATATTATTTTGACGGTATATTCAATTTCAATATACAAAGCTAGGAAGCAGCGAGACAGTGTTGTTTTGTCTTTTGAAATGTATGAACATTTCAGGCATGAATATTGAGAAAATCTTTCAGATTCTACGCAATATATAAATTGATTTTTTGCATTACGGTCATTCTATTAAGTGCCGACGGTATATTCATTATACAGAGCTAGGAAGCAACGAGACCGTGTTTTCAAATGTATAAACATTTCAGACATAAATATTGTGAAAATCTTTGTTTACGTGTATAGCACAACGGTGCAAACTCGTGTTCAGTGCAACGAAAACTCTACCAGATCTTACGAGAATCTATCTGTATCAAAGCTTGTCAAAACTGCTATATAAACACTGCAATAACTGTGAAACTATTGAAATCTAAAGTTACATTATTGAATACATGCGAAAAGCTGAAAATGACTCATGAAACAACAACGTGACCTTCGAAATATATCAAAGGTCAATGAGACTTGTTATTGTGGACACGTCATAATTAGATTAAAATGCGGAAAGCGGATGCGGATTCACGGAACGGATATGGGGATAAAATGCGGATGAAATGCGTCATTTTAATGAGTTTTTCGCCTCTTATTTACGTTTCTGTGTTTTAGATTTATGTTCCTTTTTTGTAATGGAATACAACGTCGTAGTGCTTATTATTTATAACATATCTTATACAGCTATTTTCTCAAGTTGTCACTGAGACAAAAGCCAAAGTGTACAATATGGGCGCTAAAAGGATGGTGGGAATAATCACAGATTTAAACAAGTCACCTAGGTTGCCGGCGACCCTATATAGTGTCGTTTTCAATTGGAAACTTTACAACATTATAACAGAAATTATGCCTTGTGACTAATATTATATGAGGAAATAAATAATATTACATAACTCTCGTCATTCTTTAATCTTAAAGTATTAGATTTAAACCAGATCTTAGCATTTTTACTGTTGTAACAGTCACGCGCGCTACTACTGTACGTCATATCGACATGTGATTAAAGCTATAAACCACGCTTGAAAAACTATTCAATTAATAAGTATGTCAATATAGCGTTCGTCTTTGAAACTCTGCACTATCCTTGGATCCCTAGTTATATTTTGAATAGAGCTATACTGTAAAATAAGATCATATCTTGCAAGATCTCGGATACTAGAGTATCTTGCGAGAAAAAAACTAATAATAGGTGTGTTGATATGAACTTGGAAGATTGTCTGATAGATAAAAACCTACTGAGTATTGTGTCCGGATTTTAGGTAAAACCCTCTCTAAATGTCGGCACATAATGGTTGCCTAAGAGTAAAAATAAAATAAACACCATTATCCCATACCTGTGCTAAAAGCGGCTTTCTGATTGGTTCTGTGAGCAGGTGAGTTTTTTCGAACTCATCTGCCCTCCGCCAAACTTATACACCCGCGATAAAACTTCTTACGTTGCCGTCCGCGTCAATAACAAAGGCGGGCAGGGCAAGATTTAGCCGATAAACAGAACTTTTTTCGGTAACTCACCTGCTGAAACTGAAGAAAACCAAAGAATGCGATGTTTAATGTTTAATTATATATATTTTTGTGCATTCAGGTCTTTCACATAATTAGCGCAAAAATATTTGCCAAAACTTTTGCATTAAATTGGTAATTTTAATTATAATAATTATAAATAAGGCGTGTTGCTGACCTTGCTGGCACAATCCGCAATTCCTGCAATAGACCTTTGCATTTATTACCCGTTCTAATCCCTATTACACGTCAGGAGATGAGTGCACTCAGGATAACTATTTTAAGTATGATTGAATCTATTTCTTCTGCTAATCCTATAAAAAGATTACCCTTGGAATGTCCAAAATCCATTTACAGCCGACAATTTGATAAAAGTATATAAAAAAATAAGGGGCTTTTTAGATAATCTTGCATGGTTTGCAGGAACGGGTGGAAGGTGAGATAATTGAAATGAATCGAAAGTTCAAACGCCGATTAAAATAATTCAAATGTTTTGGAGAAGACCTCGCAGTTTAACAAGATTATTCTTGCTGATTGAACAACCTGTCGCGTGTATACAATTATACTACTATTCTATCTATAGATAAATAATGTAGTTTTGCTGAATCGTGCATCGTAACACTTTTCAATCATCCCGCCTCACATATCGTCTCGGTAAAGCGGGGTCATGTAAACTGCCACTAAAACACGGCATTTTGCAAATCCAAGATATGAATTAAGATCATGACAAAAATTTTATGGTTTTATTTACCATTGATTTTAATCCATATCTTGGTCTTGGATTTGCAAGATTCATTTCATCGGAATTTGTTTTATTTTATAGTCTAATTAGAGTGTGGTTATGAGGAGTAGATACTCGCAACTACACGAATAAGGAACTGTTGTAGAATTAGTATGTTGCAATGACTTCATTAATACAATAATTTTATTGTACAACGGAAAACGACTGCATTTCATTTTAGAAACTTTGCTTTTCGATCAAATTTTAATCTTACTGTAGTTCTAAAATAAAATAAAATAACGTAAATTGTATTTTGCTTTTAGGCTACAGAAAAGCACGAGACAGTTGTGTAAAGCAGAACATCGTGATCAAGTATGGGACCGTATCATCCGATACCCTGACACTTAATGTTTCCGAGGCTAGAGCTATCATGCAGCAACTTGTTGATATCGGGAAAAAAGAATTAAATAGTAAATGTAGATCAAAAGCGACACTTAGACTTGGGACTGTACAGGTATCTGAGTCATCAGGCTACACGATCGAAGCATCGTTGGAATATTTAGTATATGCAGGGTACAGACGTTGGAATTTCGCCACGTGTGTTGCGAATGCTAATCTATTTCAAGATATAGTTAATGACCCTAAGAAAGCTCCCGCTATTCAAGGGCAGTATTCGTCGTATGGAGCAACAAACGTTACTAAAGGTTCTAGTGGTTTAAGTGTCGCATCAACTTGCTGTAATCCTGGCTCGGTTGTTAACAGAGGATCTTGCCGTACGTTTTACTTTATTATCAAGCCAACAGCAACAACAACAACAGCAACAGCAGAAGTAACAGCAACAGCAGCAACAACAACAACAACAACAACAACAAGCAACGGCAACAACGGCAACAACAACAACGGCAACAACAAGCAACGGCAACAACAACAACAACAACAAGCAACGGCAACAACAACAACAACAACAACAACAAGCAACGACAACAACAACAACAACAAGCAACGACAACAACAACAACAACAACAACAACAACAACAACGGCAACAACAACGGCAACAACAACGGCAACAACAACGGCAACAACAACGGCAACAACAAGCAACGGCAACAACGGCAACAACAACAACGGCAACAACAAGCAACGGCAACAACAACAACAACAACAACAAGCAACGGCAACAACAACAAGCAACGGCAACAACAACAACAAGCAACGGCAACAACAACAACAACAACAACAACAACAACAACAACAACAACAACAACAACAACAACAACAACAACAACAACAACAACAACAACAACAACAACAACAACAACAACAACAACAACAACAACAACAACAACAACAACAACAACAACCCCAACAACAACAACAACAACAACAACAACAACAACAACAACAACAACAACAACAACAACAACAACAACAACAACAACAACAACAACAACAACAAACAACATCAAACAACAGCAACACGGTGTAGAAATCTGAAAAGTTTTATTCACTCAACATTGAAATCAAACTACAAATATAATTAACTTGAAGCATTGTTCAGTTTTTTCTTCTATATCATTATGCTTTAATTTTAATGCTTTTGATAATGGTGCCTGCCGGCAATCCCATGCTTTCCACGTTTGGGTAAGCCTTTCCAGCAACAAGCTCAGCACTTGGCTCGGCCTCGTTCTTTCCTCCGTAGACTATCCAATTATCCTTGCCCTCAACTTTGGCAGATTTCGCACCATTGGGAAGTGGTCCACTAGCGGTAATATCAGAACAGTCCCTTGTTTTGCCCTGCAAAGTTAAGAGGAAATTCATTTTCTTTGGGAATATATATTTTCATTCTTTTTTGGTCTTGTTTTGGACTCGTTTTGTCAAGGGACCGGTCATTATTTTTCGCGGGAGTGGCACTGAAGAGAAAAGGGTTGGGTAAACAAAATTTTGAGTGAGTAAAAGTTTGGATACTGATGAAAAACAAAACAACTCCAAGTTTGGGTAATACAAATTTATTGTCATCCCGGAAACATGGCTCACTCAAATATTGAGGACTAAAAGGCAACGCCAACAATCATATGACAATTAGGCTAATACAATATGTAAATCAATCAGTGTCACTATCTTGGTCATTCTTCGATTTGTCAGGAGGCAAATTGTGTCTCCAAAGAAAGTACATGTACATGTGCGGACATGATGAAACTTTAGACTGCAAAAAATTGCATAAGTAGTTGTCAAACTCATGTCACAGAAGTCGTGAAAGGCATTGTGTGGCAACTGAATAGGATCCTTTTGTAAAGTTTTTGGCCAGGGATGAGTAAATACTTTTTAATTCAAACTCGAGTTTTGGTACATTTTTTGAATTTTTAATTGTTGGATCAGCAAAATTGTTACCAACAAAAACGTTTTTCTCCGTTGACAGCCCCCGCCATAAATAATGACCAGTTCTACAAATAGATATGTTTGTTAAAATGTCTAATTAATGACTGATTTAAACATTGCAATGTTTTTTATACACTTGGAAACTGGAGCAGCCATATTGGAGAGGTTTCCGGAAATGTGCAATGGAAAGAAAAAACTCGCATTACAATTTGATGAAGAAAATTTGTTTGAATACTAATTGAATGTCAAACCATATTATCCTCTCCTTCTCTCTTTTTGTGATGTGACTGACATTTTCAATGGACATGTCGTCTCAAGCATGACTGCCATTTGCAACAATGAAATCATAATCCAAGGACTATTAAGACGCGAAATGTCTGTATTTTTTACTTATTTCAAAAGCCTCGTATAATCTGCTAGCTTGAAAACATTCACAACTCGGTCACGAACTTATATAGCCTACCATCCCTTAGGAAAAGCAAGTAAAGCAACAAAAAGTGCAAAATAGAAGAGAAGTAAACACTAAAGAGATAAACCATCCAAGGGATGGTAACCTCCCATGGTAATTTACCATCGATGGTAACCTCAGGGATGCTAACTTCTCGTTCTTCAAAACATTCTAGGAGTTCTTCTGATCAGTAATTGGTCGATGTTTTGGAATAATCTTACATCTGAGACAAAAAATGTACGTAATGCCGTTTACTGAAACCGTATGGATTCGGGAATATAGTGTAATTTATATAGATTGCCACGGGCATATGTTTACGTGTATGCTTCACGTACTTTTAGTTCTTGAGGTTTTTCAATTTCCTTTCAAAGTGTAATTAACCTAATGCATAGCAGTTGTAGATGTAGTAGAAGTATTTGGGATTTTGTAATTACTAGCAATTACGCCCCTCCTGTGAAGCGCGCAGCTAAATTTGTATTTTAGAAATTCGAGAGAGGCTAAAGCGTGATACATGATTATGAAATAAAAAGGGCATTAGACACCCTTTCAGGGAAGGATAATTTAAAATAATTTATTGTATATTACCTTGGAAGGTCCCTCGTAATTTGCTTCCTGGAAAAAAGTAGCCATAATCTAGAAATATAGTATTGTGTTAATATTTAAACGGGAAAGCGTTTTCGAAAGTCTCCGTGTTATTTTGTATCCCAAAATGTGTGCCACAATTAACGTGTTGGCCAAGGGCCAAAACGAAGAGAAAAGTATACTATAAAGGACGGGGCCTAACACGTACTGACCACAATAAATATCCATCCATGCAATCAATAATATATACATGGCATGGTGCGGAAAGCTCTACCTATATAGATCATATATAATATTCTTCTAAAAACTTACAGAATCAGAGAAATATTCTGCTTGTTAATTATTCTTGGTGCTCGTCTTCTTGCTGCTGTCGAATGCTTTGAAAACACGAACAAGGACGCCCTTTTTATAATCCCTCAGTCACGAGGTAATTCAGTTAAATAATGGGACATTTCTTTCCAGTTCACTTCACTAATAGGTAATGATTGATATGAACATCCATATTAGGACAACAATGCAAAAGTGCCCGACGGAAAAGCCATTGTTTTGTGCGGCATTTTTTTACAAAATTCAGTGTACCTGCACGGACAGGCAATCCGCCACTTCGCAATCTATTACCAAACCCCACAGGAGAAGATAGTACGGCTAAAATAATCACATAGGATTTGCAGCCCCCTTGGAAGAGTTGTTGACATTGTCATTCATCTTTTTAATTCGCCCAAAACTGAATTACTTACAAGAAGCGCATGACTTGTGGCCTTCTAGAAACCATAAGATTTTTATCTAATATCTCTAGATTATCAGTTTACATTAATTAACTAAAATATGTGGTGCCAGTTCAAGTCATTCATAGAAAGGTAGAATTGCGATTAATATAGATGCATTGAAGAAAGATAAAACGCCAGTAAGGCATATACTGTGCTTAATTAATTACAAAATTTGTAAAAATTGGATAATGGAGACAATGCATAATTATACATTTGACTAATTTATAGTCGCTTATCACTTTTAGGCGGAAGGGTATGGGATTGTTTTATTCTAATTGTGGGATGTATTTTTTATAATGATTTGAAGGAACAGTATAAGACCTAGGCTTTTTATGTTGTTTGTGAAGATTGATCCAATCTTCAATTCCATTAGCCAGAGTCTGTTTTCTATAATTTGTTCTGTTACTTATTTTATGAGGCAGTGAAAATGTTCTTTTTTTATGAGGCAGTGAAGATAAAGCACAAGCGGCCGACTTGCATTGGATTCACAAAATATACAATGTATGAATGGGCATTGAGGAGTGAGTTCAGGAGCTTGAATATCTTGGGTGTTACCTCAAACTTTGTCTGACCAAGTGTCAATGTCCGGACGGCGCTAGAGGGGGGATCACCACTCATGAATGAGTCGGAATATTGTTACATTCATTCGCCAAAAATTGAACTGTGTTGGAAACAGTTGTTTTGGGTGGTTAGGATCAGCATCAGTCTTTGAGGTAGGCATTTGAAATCTTCCCCAGAACGGAAGAAATACCATTTTAGAGACTCTGGATTCCAAAATAGTCAAGTATATAGTCGACGTCGATCTGACAGATCTGAAATTGAAGTTTGTATTATATATATTGCATTATTGCATTAACCAACATTATACAACTTTAATTAACTGAACCACAATTTTGTAAATGCGGGCGTATTTGCAAAGTTTAGTAAATTCGGGCCAAGCTAATGACTCTGCAAAACTATACTTCACAACACCCCCACCCACAGACACACACACACACACACACACATATATACACACACACACACACACACACACACACACACACACACACACACACACACACACAATGAAGCAGGTCGAGCGCCACGCCTGATCAAAATCTATAAGAGGGTGTCCTCTCAATTGGATCAATTTGCGTCCGAATAGATTGAAGTCCATATGTAAAACATAATCGGATTGATCATAGTTCGATAAATACTTTGACATGCACGGACAGGCAATCTACTATTTCACAATCTTTTAACGAACACCACAGGAGAGATAGTAAAGCTAAACTAACCACAGTATTTGCAGCCCCCTGGGAAGAGATGGAAATAACATAGAACAGTGTAATTGTTGTCATTCTAAAAACGTACTCGAAAGTATTCGTTATATATACAGTAGGTATATTGCAAGTCATTGCAGTAAATGTCCCCGAACATACATGTTATTTACTAATGGTATCAGGTTATCGATCAAGTTACATGCACGAACATTTTAAACGGCATTTATCGTGCCCAACCATGGTTTAAGTTCGGTTTTTCAACGGCACATTTCTTACTTTAAACATTCATAATGTGGACCAATTTCTTTTGAAACAGTAAAATTATTGACTGATTCGAAAACTAGCCGTCAACAATTTTGCACTATTATACATTTAGCAGAGACTGCTATTTAAAGCAAAGTGTAAGATTTTAAGATTGAAAACAATCCATGCAAGCGAATTATAGCCCTTAGCTGAAATATGAAGAAAAAAAACACCAAAACGAGGCTAGTTAGTCTTCCTTTTTAAATCTAGCACTGACAAACTCCAGTATTAATCTAAAAAGAAAATACATGGTATTGAAATTATACTTCAGTAACAATTAATTTCGAGAAAAAACGAATGGCAATCATTTAACGAATCGGTCTAATTTCATGTAAGGATCTTAATTGGTAGAACGCCTGGGGTTTCATTTTCAGCTTTGAGACAAAACTTTTTATTTTGTGTGAACAAAGCCTAGAGACTAGAGTTGGGAATTGGAGCTATGAATTAATTGCTCGGGCAACCAGATCTCTCTTAGCACTATGTAGTGTTTCGGGATAATTCTAGGTCACACACTCGATGAGAGGTAAATTATAAGTTCAGGTTTCAAACAATGGTGAAAGCATTTGTCCAGCAAGTAGAGGCAGACTTTCATTGCTATCAATTAAATTTTAGAGAAGATAAAAGAAACGGTAAGAAAAGTTAAGCAAAGTTTCGTACGCATCGATCACATTCATCTCAATGCTGTATTATTCAATCATCTGAGTGCATTCTGTCTTTCAATGGTTGACAGCCATGATCTATTAGT